AGGGGTGTAATTTAAACGGATTTGAGAGTTGAGGGTTGTGTTCTAATTGGTATTTCAGTTCGGGGTTGTAAATTAAATTAGGGCGAGAGTTTAAGGTTGAAATATGCACTTCTCTCAAAAACAAATAGAGCTATTACCGTCACTCTGTCACCAAACGCAACATGCTTACGCATCTCAAAATTTCCTGTGAATTCCATTGGTGCTAACCGAACAAGTCCTACAGAAAAAAAATCCAAGGAATAAACCAGTTCATAATTCTTATGAATTTCCTTACACCAAATAGGCCCAAATAGTTTTTTTCGCGAATACGCAAAGATTGCGTATCATTGCATTGATAGGAGGGGTGAAAAAAATACATAGGATGAGTGCTACAAACGGCCACGCGTACACAAGCTGGCGCGGGCACTAGTAGCAGGAGCAGATGAGGTAGGGGCTGCTCATCCCCGATACATCGGACTATAGCCCATCTCTCAGAGATCATCGTCGCCAAGCCGTTGGCGCCGGCGCTAGCCCAAAGGCGAGCGTCTTCTTGAATAGATCGAAGCAAACTAGCGATGGATGGGTGCAGCTGGTCGAAGACGCATCCATTCCGATGTTTCCAAATAGCACAGGCCGTGAGGGCAATGATGGAGTTTAGACCCTTTCGAAGAGCAGCGGGCGCTGTGGAGCATGCGTTGATCCACCAATCTGCGAAGGACATGTCTGGGGCCGGGATCATAGCGGTTGATCGGCACCAAGATAGGACCTTGTGCCAAACTTGGCGGGAGAAGGGGCAAGCAGAGAATAGGTGGTGCATGTCCTCGGTGGCCTGGTCGCAGAGCACGCACCGGTCGTTGTGCGGTAAGCCACGGCGTGCGAGGCAAGCGGCCGTCTAGCACCGATCTTGAAGGGCCAGCCAGATGAAGGCTTTGATGCGGAGGGGGGCCCATGTCTTCCAAGAAGCATCTGAGATGGAGCCGTGGAAGAGCGCAAGGTAGCAGGTCTTGGCCGAGTAGTCGCCGGAGTTGGTCCATCTCCAGCGCAGCACGTCGTGCCCGGCCGCGAGGGCTTTGGTCTGGAGAGCGCGCCAGAGATCCATGTACTGGACAAGGGCCGCGGGGCCGAGCGCGCCGGCGATGTCGCGCACCCATGCCCGCTTGGGGAGGCCCTCAGCCACCGTCCGGTCGTGGCGATGCCGCCGGGAGACCATAGAGAAAACTAGGGGCGCGATCTCAGAGACGGATTGGCCCTCGATCCAGGGGTCCGTCCAGAACTTGCAAGAATGTTCATCTCGCACCTCCCAGGTGGTGGAGGCTCTGAAAATCTGCTCGTCCATCGGGTCGTGGGGGAGGTGGAGCTTGCTCCAGGGACGCGAGGTGTCAGTGCGCTGGAGCCAAAAGCCACCTAGCGCGCAGAGCAACACCAGTGCGCTGCAGGTCGCGGATCCCCATGCCGCCAAGGGAGGTGGGGCGGCACACGCGGTCCCAGTTGACGCGGCACTGCCCACCGCAAGCATCCTTGCGGCCAATCCAAAGGAAGCCGCGAATGATCCGGTTCACCCGCGCGAGGATAGTCTTGTTGACGGCGATGGCGATGATGATGTGAATGGGCATGGCACAGAGAACATGCCTGCAGAGCGCAAGGCGATCGCCAAGAGAGAGCATGGATCCAAGCCAAGTGGAGAGCCTCCTCTCAAGCTTGTCAACAAGCGGCATGAGGTCAGTCGTGGAGGGCTTGCGAATGGATAGCGGAAGGCCGAGGTACTTCACTGGGAAGTTGGCGATCGGGCATGCCATCTCTGCCTCGATCGTGGCCACGTGCTCCTCGGTGCACTGGATGGGCGATGCCGAGCATTTGGCGAAGTTTGTGCGGAGCCCGGAGACCTTGCCAAAGATGTCAAGTAGGGAGCGAATGGTGCGTAGGTCATGGGTGTCGGGGTGGCAGAAGATGACAACATCGTCCGCGTAAAGGGAGACACTCGAGGCCAGGTGTCTCGTGGTCAACCGCTGGAGGAGGCCACGCTCGACGGCTCGCTGGAGAAGCGAGTTTAGCACGTCGATGACAATGACAAAGAGCATCGGAGAGACATGATCCCCTTGTCGCAGCCCGCAAGCGTGAAGGATAGGCGGCCCAGGAACGCCATTGATGAGCACGCGCGTGGACACGGTGGAAAGTAGAATAGAGATCCACCCGCACCGGCGGTTTCCGAAGCCAAGGTGTCGGAGCGTTTCAAGCAGGAAAGGCCAGGCCACCGAGTCGAACCCCCTCGCGATGTCGAGCTTGAGGAGCGTCCGCGGCATCTTGAGATTGTGGAGGAGTCTGGCCGTTTGCTGAACGAGGAGAAAATTGTCGTGGATGCTCCGGCCAGCAATGAACACGCTTTGGTTCGTGGAGACCAATTGGCCCAGATGCGGTGCTAGTCGGAGGGAGAGCGCCTTCGCGAATAGCTTTGCAATGAGATGAATGAAACTGATAGGCCGATAGTCGAAGAGGGATGCCGCATCCTGCTTCTTAGGGATGAGGGTGAGGAGCGCCTCATTGAGCCGCTGAAATCCACGCCCGTTAAGCGCATATAACTTGTCAAAATAGTGTGGCTTCAAAATTCTATTTTTCGACTTAGGCCTTGTACAATGTTTTGTTGCCTTCTCCTACCTAATGAAAATAGCAGAACAACTACTGTAAAAGTTAAAAAAAAATGCCAATACTGTTGAGCTGCATCTTGATTGGCCTTATTTTGTCTAATACACATGTTAAGTACCGTGGTACATACCCTTACAAACTATTCCCTCCGTCCCATAATATAAGAACGTTTTTAACATTAATGTAGTGTCAAAAACATTCTTATATTATGGGACAGAGGGAGTACTTATCATCGTAAAAACTGAACAATACATCTGTATCCAGCGACAACGTGGCATGAGCAAAACTCGTTGCCGCCTTCCCGCGCCTGACTCGGCAAAGCCATGGCCATGAGCTCGTAAAAGCAGCGTCGAGAAGTCATCAATCTACAAAGATGCCGGCGGCTGCACTTCCGATGACCCTATTTTGCTTTAGTTTCAAGTGACACAACTTGCGCGTGAACGCGTACACCCCTTGTCACCATCACCGACTCGCCGACACAGCACACAATCATTTGGTTGGCTCCGGGTACAAAAAGAAGAAGAAGCATGCAATCTTATCGACATATCTTCAGCTGAAGCCGGCCATGCCGATCTGAAAACCCCCGGAAGCAGCATGGAACTTGCCCCGTTCCTGTAGCGAAAGCGCTCCCACTATCAGCCGGGGCCAATGGCGCGGCGAAACGTGGGAGCAGCGGATGCCTCGGGGCACTGTTCACCCCCACCCCCAGGAGCATAAGAACATACGGACCATTTTTGTAAAGCCTCGCGTACGAGGAAACGTGCGCCCTGGCTCGTTTCGCAGCGCCGGTTTAATGGCCGTCTGGCGCGAGGTCCAGGTCGCCGAAGGGAAGGGAAGGGAAGGGAAGGGAGCACGTTGGGTTGGACCATGCAGGTGCAGGGAGAAGATCTGAAACGGAGGCCGCCCCACGAGCAACAGCACATGCGCGTTGCGCCTCGGTTCCTTCCGGGCCGGCTCACCCGCCGACCGCCAAGAAGTAGCCCCGCATATGTAGGGGTACGTGCAAACGTGCAGGTGCATTTTCTGCTCCCCAGCTCAAATATACTCGCATAATAAAGAGTAAAATTCGAAAATAAAACGGTAGACATGGTCAAAAAAATCTGAAATTATTTTACACTCGACATCAACATAGTAGAAGTTTTAGCACCCTGGTAATTTTGACGGCGAAAAGACATCCTTGGCGGCTTGTAAAAATTTTCAGGACCCAAAAATAGAGCATGTAGATCATTTTTGTTTATGCTGAGACCACGAAGGATGGCTTTCCGTGATGAAATTTTACGGGCAACCGGAACACTTATTGATGTTCATGGGCATTTTTTCTCCTCTCTTTTTTACCATTCACACGGATGCATGTGTGCTCCGGATTAGAGGAACACTTTCGGCATTTCTCCCTCTTTCCATGACAATGATAGCAAAAAAATTTCACCTTTTGCGCCACGACAATGACGGCGACCTCACTTCAACGATGGGCAACCACTGTTCAACACGACATTTCTTTTACCTCCTTCTAGGAGTAGAATCCATTTAAAATATGTCCCATATTTCCCCTTAGAGTGGAGAGCGTTAAGCTGAAGTGCACAAACCTGACCCGTCAGTTGAAAGCGGAGGTTTGGCTCTCGGGTGTATATGCACACGGCATGAAAAATAATTTAGTAATTATATTTTAGATAGCCAAAATTTCTAAACATTTTTCAAACAAATTTGACCTTTTGTTGTACTTGCATAAAAGGTTTCGTCGAGGAATGACTTTCATGGTATTCTGGGCAATTTTTTTTAACACTATATGCTCCCTTTGTTTCAAAATAAGTGTCTCAAGCTCACTTATTTTGGGACGGAGGGAGTACAAGTTATTACTCACATTTTTCTGTCCTAATTTTTTTGGGTTTTCTTCCCTGAAGTTGATGGGAGTTTTTTCCTCATGATTTTTTTATTCGAGTACAACAGAAGGTCAAATTTATTTCCAAAAAGATTTGAATTTTTTTATCTTATTTCACAATTATACTGTTTTTCTTTCATATCAAGTGCACAACGGTTCATATAGTCTTTCCGTTATCCGTACCACACAAGAGTCGCGCGTAACTGAAGCCTGATCCGATCTCAATAATTTGCTGTCGATTCGAGGAATCTATCTGTAGATCTATCGATCTCGACTCTCAATCCCAAGTGGAGAGCTGCGTACGTACATACCGACTAATCAATCGTCCGGCATCATCGATCCGCTGCTGCTCGGTGCTGCCAAACGCCAGCGCACTCACGGCACCAGCGCCCACGGGCTGCCAGCGGCATACAATCTAGCGCGCGATTTTATCCCTGTTGCAAAGGACGAAACGAGCGAGAATAAGCGAACAAGAGCGCGATCGCCAACAGTTGTTTATTCCGTATCAGGTTGGTGGGCGCGCTCGCCGGCGGACCCTGACCGGCAGGCCGCCGGCGAACGTGGCCGTCAGCCCCGGCGCGAACTTGGGCCGGCGCGAGCTGCGCTCGATCGCCTGGATGTCGAAGCCCCGGACGACGGCGACGATGACGGCCTTCATCTCCATGAGCGCGAGGTCCTTGCCGACGCAGACGCGCACGCCGGCCTGGAACACCGGGTACCGGTACGGGCTCACCGGGACGAACTGCCCGTCGCGGAGCCACCGCTCGGGCCGGAACTCGGAGCAGTCGGGGCCCCACACCGACTCCATCCGGCCCATGGCGTAGGCGTGGTAGGTGACCCGCGTGCCCTTGGCCACCGCCGTGCCGTCCGGGAGCGTGTCGTCGCCCGCCGCGAACTTGGAGTCGAACTGCACCGGCGGGAACAGCCGCATGCTCTCGTACAGCGCCGCGTGCACGTAGTGCATGTCCTTGAGCTTGCTGAAGCTCGGCCGGTCGCCGTCGTCGCCGCCCGCGACGCGTGACACCTCGTCCCGGATGGCGGCGGCGACCTCCGGGTGATCGGAGAGGAGCAGGAAGAAGGCGGTCAGCGCTGAGGCGACGGTGTCGCGGCCGGCGAGCATGAAGCTGACGACGATGTCCCGGAGGTACTTCTCGTCGCTGATGGAGCCCATGAACCGCGACAGGAGGTCGCTGCCGGACGCGGCGCCGCCGAGCTTGTGTCGCTGCCGGGTGACCTCCGCGGCGAACCCGTCGACGAGGCGCACGGATTCCCGGAGCTTCCTCTCGTCCCCGACGTTGAAGAACCGCTTCAGCCGCCATATGATCTGCAACGGCGCGGTCGCGCGCCTCGCAGAGAGCATCGACGCCGTGTCGAACGCATCCACGAACGCCGACACCGGCATGGACAGCTCGAGGCAGCCCGGGTCGAGGCCGAAGGAGATCTTGCATATGCAGTCGAAGGCGAAGCGACGGAACACGTCCTGCAGGTCCAGCACCTTGCCACCGTCGTCGTCGTCGTCGTCGTGGGAGCAGGCAGAGTCAAGCAGGGGAACGAGACGGCCCCGCAGCTCGGAAGCCACGACGCCCGAGGCGAAAGCCCTGAGCGCGGGGGACGCAAGCTCAGCCGCGGCGAGCTTCCGCTGGAACAGCCACGCGTCTCCGTCGACGTTGAAGATCCCGCGGCCGAGCAGGTCGGCGAGGATGGCGGAGAAGGGCTTGCCCTTGGGGTAGTTATCGAAGCGCGCGCGCAGCATGTGCTCGACGGTGACGGGGTTGGCGGTGAGCACGTTGCGGAGCACGTGGACGTGCACGGTCTGCGACGGCGAGCGGCGCAGCAGGTGCGCGTACCAGTCGCAGAGGTTGTCGAACTCGCCGGCCCAGGAGGCGGTGAGGTAGGCCTCGCAGACCGCGCAGTCGCACCACCACGGCGGGCGCGTGCGCGCCACGGCCAGCAGGGCGGCGAGCGCCACGGTGCACACCGCGAGCGCGAAGAAGGCGCCGGCCACGTGCGGCTGCAGCTTGAGCGCCACGGTGCACACCGCGAGCGCGAAGAAGGCGCCGGCCACGTGCGGCTGCAGCTTGAGCGCCACGGTGCACACCGCGAGCGCGAAGAAGGCGCCGGCCACGTGCGGCTGCAGCTTGAGCGCCCCATGCAGCGCCGCCTCCGCCGCCGCCGCCCCATGCAGCGCGGCCTCGACGCCCATGACGAGCACGACGTGACGGCGGCGCTACCTGCTTTTTATCTATCGTACGTGCGTGTGTGTGCGCGCGGGGGGGCTTTCATCTGCGGGCGGTGAGGTGAGGTGCCGTTGCGCCCGCCCCGGACGAGGCCGTTTTATACTGCCGCCCGGCCCTCTCCTCGCTCGTGTGTAGAAGGACGGTTCTGGGCATGGACTCTCGCCCGTGTAGCTTCCCCTCGTGACTTTGACCGCTCTCTCACTCTCAGTAGGTCTGGGCACGCTCGAGCTCGAGCTCACCTCGGTCGATCGGGCTGTAGCAGCTGGTGGTCTAGACCCTAGAGGTGGAGAGCCACATGCGCTATAGGAACAGTGCTGCATGTTGTCCGCCGCGCCATGCCCGTCGTCCGATCGGGCCACGCACCGTCACCCACCTCCCGGGGTGGCACTTGGTGTTTTTACCCCGGCCCGGTCGGTCGACCGCGACGTCAATACCCGGTCGTACATAACAGGAAAGCCCGCGGCTTGCCAACTTGGGCCAGCCAGAGCCAGTTATTGATTGCACTGCAGTGCAGTGCCTCCCTCCCACGATCCAGACAGTGCGATTGTACCACCACTACTATTGGACTAGTCGCCGATCCAGGGATACTTACTGCGCCGTGGCGTTTTGCACGTGCTTCCAGTGCCCACTAGCTTAGCCAGGCGCAGCAGCAACAGAGAGAGCAGCGCCGGACCGCCCGGGGTACATCTCTGCCCGTCTGCCTTCGCCGGGGCCGACCGATCTTTCTCACCCGCGCGCGGCCTCGATCGCGGCGACAGCGGCGCAGTAAACTCATCAATGGCGGTATGCGCCCCGAGCTCCGATGCCCCCGGGTACAAGGACACTATCGTGCTACCTGCGCCGGGGCAGAAGGAGGCGCAAGTTGCATCGTAGGAGCATCTCCAGCCGCACCGCCCCTCAACACGTCTTTATTTTCGTGGGTGCAAAAAAAAATTCCCCAGTCACACCTTCAGAATGTTGAATTCCGTCGATTTGACTCATTTTTGGCCCGATGATTTCACACGGAACTAGTGCACTGGGAGGCATTTGGGGACTTCGGTGAAAAGAAAAGTGGCGCGTGGGCCACCATTGTCTAGTGAGAAACACTTTCCCCCTTCCCCCAAGATTCGACCCAAGTGCGGCAGAACGCCACTTCCCCTTTGCCGCCATGCCGATACCAGCGCCACCCATCTGCCCACAGCCGTTGCTCCGCCGCTAGAAAGGCCATTCCCCCGCCGAAAAGAGAGGGGTTTCGCCGCGACAGCCTCCATCCTACTCCTGGGCGAGGTTTCGAGGACTCCGACCACACAGGCAAGGATACTGGCGGCTGCCCGCCCATCACGCCCGCGAGGTGTTTGGCGATTTGTCTGTTCGGCGATGGACTCCGACGACGACAAGGCGCTTGCGGCTCTGATGGAGAAGGAAGCCAAGGCCGACACCGACGATGAAGAGCACCTCATGTTCCTATTTGATTTTGTATTGATTTATCTGATAAACTAAGTGATAAAAAATAGTTTTTGTTGAATTTGTGCTGAAGTGTGCCGAATTTGTGCCTAATTTGAGTTGGAACTCGGCGGCTGGGGGGCGAACTTGGGGGACGGCTGGGAACCGGAGCCTCCCATGCAGAAAATATCAACGGTAAGCCCCCAAGAGTCAGTATTTTACGCCTAAAAAAGCCCTTGGGGGGGGGGGCGAATGGCCGGAGATGCTCCAAGGGCATCTCCACCGCCGACCCTCAAAACTTCCGTATGCCACCACGACCGACCGCGCTGTCCGGATCACGGAAGTCATCCAACACGGGTCTGTATTGGTCCGCGATGTGGTCTGGATGCATTTTCTCTCGCAAATCGGAGACAGACGTCAAAGGGCTTTGCGGGAGTCCGGACCGCTCACACATTCGCTTCTGGCCACCCTGGCCCATAAAAAACCCACCCGTTCCTCCTGCGCTTTTCTTCCGATGCACACGTCGCTTATCGCGTCACATTCATGCCGGCCTAAAGCACGCAGCGGTCGTCATTGATGCCACAAATGTGACTGGAGGGAGAGAGGGCGGCGCTGACCGACGAGACCTCTCGGGAGCCACCACTTCAATGCGGACGCAAGTTCCTGAGGAACCAACTCCGGAAGTTGTGCCGCATTGAAGCGGCTGACTAACCCTTCACCTGGCCTGGCCGCGGTAATATAAGCCACGCTTCGTCGTCGTCCACATCACAATCTATCTTCCTCCTCCCGTCTCCCCGCCCATCTCCCTCCACATCTCCGGCAATGGGCAAGTCCTGGACGTCGGCGCCGACAGGCAGCGGTTCAGGGGCGGGCTCTGGCGGATCGTGACGATGCCGCCCTCAAACTTCGGGGATGTCGTCCTCATCAACGGGCGGCTCCTTAACAAAGGCGGAGATCGTCATCTCCTCTGGCGACGAGGAGGACCAGCCGCCGCCGCCGCTGCAGCAGTTCGCGCCGATGGTGACGGGCCAGGTGTACGCCGCCACCGACGTGGAGTACAAGGAGCAGATGGGGCTGAAGCTTCGTCGCTCCATGCTCCACCACAACGGCCCGGCTCCGCCACCGGGGACGCTCCTCCCCCCGGCATCCCCTCCGCGCTCTCCGGCGCGCAGTCGCGGCGTCCAAATTGGACGTCGCGTGGAGGAAGAGCCCATCCCGCCGACGCCAATGCGCGTGAAGGAGCGACTCTCTCCGCCACCCCAGCGCATGAAGGAGGAGCGGCTCTCTACGTCCTGATGCATCAAGGCGAAGCGTGGCTCGCCGCCGCCTGTGCCCAATGCGGTCGTGAAAGCACGCGGTCGCCTTCAACACTATCTCAGCGACATCGGCAACGACAACTCTTCATCGTCCCGGAGCGCCATAATGGCGCAGGAGTACGTCGATAGGAAGCGGCGCCGGCGGGACAGGCGCAACGCGGTGCGCTGGTTCGAGTTTGCCGACTCCGACGTCCGGCCGCCACACATTGCGGCGGACCCGAAGCTGGCGTACGCCTGGGCTTTGGACCGCTTCATGATGACGGCAGAGACGTGCAAGCGACGTCATCACCGCCTCGACAAGAAGATGGCCAAGTACGGCGAGGAGTGGTCTCTCGTCGAGATCGCCACCACTAATGTCGTTTCTTCCAAGGCCCGCCGGCCTTTACCCCCGCACACATCGTCGGTGGCCGCGGCCGCACTGCACAGACACAGGACGAAGCGGATTGGATCATCCTTGAGCGTCAGGCGGCCAATGGAAAACCCTATCGCGACGCTGCCACCTTCCGCTGCCTGAAGCTCGACGACGACGAAGGAGGAGCCGCCGGCCAGCCTGGCATGACGTACGAGGTCACCGTCAAATATAAGATAGTTTTGGGTTTTAGTTTAAGATTTTTAGTTCACTGGACGAGAATATCATCCGGTATCATATACAGATTGTCCTATTTCAAATTAAATCCGCTATGTTTATTTCAAAAATCACCCCGGTTTGTATGAATTTCATTCGATTGGTTTGAACATTTGTCAAAACATATGCGGCTATGATTGGATGATGTCCTCCCGTATCCGTGTTGGCGAATGATCTCCCCTATCCGTGGACTAGTCCTTTTTATCTGCATACGGATGCGGAAGAAAATTTACGGATTGGAGATGCCCTGATGCGGTGCGTTTCAGGGGTCAGGCTGCTGCAGTGTCGATTAATTGGGGCTGAATCGCCACTGCTGCTCGATGGATATCTACCCAGCGCGCGCCAAGATTTTATATGATGAAATGCGGTGCAAGTTTCCAACTCAAAAAAAAATGCGGTGCAAGTTGTTTTGCTTTTACAGTCGGAGGACGTGCTCACTGATAGGTATGTCCTCGATTAATCGAGCTGCATGCCTCGTAAGAACCGACGTGGCAGCTTAATCATGTCGTCCTGGGCCTGATTGCACTGTCAGTTCTAGGTAAACAAAAGCAGGGAGTAGTGCCGCATGACTGTTGCTTATTTTTGAACAAAAGTGGTGGTACTGCTGCATCATTGCTCAACTCCAGCTCTGAAAAACAATATATAGGGTACGTACATCAGCCATGGGCTGAGCTAGACGAGGACATGGGTGTACAAGTGTACACCCATTATTTTTCTCGCGGATACGCAAAACTTGCGTGTCTTTTCCTTGATAGAAGAAAGAGAAATGAATATAAAGAGGATACAACACATGGCGTGAACGCAAGCCGGCGTGTGGACATGGTTCCCGGAGTAGAGAGACAAAAGATGCTCGGCCTGAACAGAAAAAAAACCACAGCTAAACCCACTAAGCCTAGAGCCGGTCGGACCACGAACATCTTCAAAGCCAACACCAAGGCCACAGCGAGCAAGCAAGATAGCGCCTTCAAGAAGGGAAGCGATGTGATTACGCCGCCACCACCTGATCTGAAGAACCGGACCAAGGGTTTCGCTCGGTGATCGGAGAGGGGCGCGAAAAAAGGCCACGACAACGCCTCAAAGAAGGAACACGACACCCGCAAGTGTCGTCGCTGCCTGCGTCGGCAGGCCGAGCAGGAATTTCACCCTGGAATGAGTCTGAGCAATCCCATTGCCGTAAGATTAGGGTCCGAAGATGACGAAGTCAGTCCGCAAGTCAAGACTACCATCACAAAAGGGTGAGATGGGGCTGCATCTGCCATCAGAGGGTGGCACCGGGCACCGCCGAAATACGCTAGCTTTGGGCCCGGCATTGCAAGTAGGTGGACGGAAAGGCGGGATAGAGAGAGCCGAAGCGGAGGGCTCGAAGGTGACCGACACCACCAGCAAGGCAGGAACCAAAAAAGGAACGTAGCTCCGAGCTACTAGGGGCGAAACCGCCGAAGCACCGGCGAGCCGAAGACCAGAAAGGACACAGCAATCGAAGCGCTGGGGCCGGTACCACACCGGCAGAGGACGCCGGCGAGCCGCGGACATGGAGAACGCAGGTCCATGGCAGTCGGGACCGGAGCACTGCCGGCAATGGTTTGCCGCGAGGCCTCAATCG